GATTTTTAAGAACAGTTTAGACAACTCTCTCAGTAATGGTCTAGGTATAACGGGTCCTACCTTAATGTAACTGTCATCAGGCAAATTTGAACCTTGGACGTCTGGAGCTTTGTGTAGGAGCCTTTATGGATTGAACTATAAAGCCAGCTGGCTATCAGCTTAGGCTGTAGAGCAGTGGTCTCCAACCTTTTCACACCCAAGATCACTTTTTAAGTCTCAGAACAGGCAAAGATCTACCGCCCCGCCCCTTCCTTGAAGTTACGCCCCCCTCTATTCTCCTGTCCATCACTTGCTATCCCCAGCCCTTATACACTCTGTTAAACAGTTTATTTTTAAATTATGAAATATATAAAATTAAAATCACATGTTTATAGTTATGAAATAAATGGTCTGTTTTTAATTCATGCTATTTAAATGTCAAATGAAGCATTTACAATTATACATTTTGTTCTCTGTTATTTTGTAAATCTAAAATCAAGTATTGATAATTATATATTTTTTCTTCCAATAACAAAGTCTCAGTGTGACACCTGTGACTGAACAGTATCTGCCAGTGTCTTGAAGTCTGGGTTGTAGTCTGAGATTGCTAGTCGTATACAGTCCATCAGATGGGCATCTGTGATCCTGCGCTCAACCTGGGAAGCTTGCTCCAGCACTGCTGGAGCTAGATGCAGCCTCCCTGGGCTGAGCGCAGGGCATCCGGGCTGGAGGGAAGAGAATTGGCTGCCCGGCCAGCTGGCCATGGCGCTCAGCCAGGGTGCACCAAACTCCACGTGGGCAGGGGCAGAGGAGAAGCCGCCGATCAGCTGGAGCGTGGGGCAGCCTCTTTCAGCTGAAAGCCACAGTCAGCTAGCTGGAGTGTTTCAGCCCTCCTGACCACCCAGCTCCCACCATTCCTCGCAGCTACTCACCTGTGTTGTTGCTCGGTGAGTAGCTGCTCCTCAAATGAGGAAATCTAATGTAAATGTACTGCGCAGGTGTGCAGTTCAGAGAGGGCTCAAGAGCTACTCTTAGAGCCCCTGAGATCTACAGGTAGATCACGATCTACTGGTTGGTGACCACGGCTGTAGAGCTTCCTTGTTCTTATCTCTCACTTTAAGTGGTCTAAGTACCACTACATAGGTCAGTGAACCATACTAGGTGTGTCGGTTACATTAGTATGAGGGATGAATTAGATGACCTCGCAAGGATCCTTCCAGTCCCTACATTTCTATGATTCCATGCTGAGTAGCTCCTTACTCAACATGTAATAACACTGTAGCCAATAGGGCCATGTACTGCAGTAAGGCGATACTCAGTGTAAGCATTGTAGAATTCAACACATGATAAGAGAAGCTGAATATCTGCATCGAGAAATGGTTTTTGATATGGTAAGACGACAAATTTATATAAATAGGAAGTATCAGAGAAAATGCAGCGATGGCTTATAATATCATTTTCATTGCTTAATCAGGATAATTTTAACACATGTTAAACCTAACCCAAGAGAGAGAAAAGTTAATTTTAAGCACTTGCTGTCAGCAAGGCTGTAATAAGCATCTTGTTGAGATAATGCAAAAATCCTTCTTCAGAACACCACCCTCTAGACACTTGATTTAATGGATTACTCTATTAAGCTCAGTGACTAAACATCTATCTTTCAGCCTCCAATTTCTCTCTCACAATCTGCACAAACTACAGTATCTGTGTTGTACTAATGTGTATCCCTTCTTGTGACCACTCCCTCTGAAATACCTTGAAGTCCTTTTCTTGTGAAATTCACTATACAATAGGGATGTTAGTGTGTAGATGATTACATGATTTGCTGATAAACCTGGGCCCATCATGTATTCATAATGGTTAAATGCACCATCCCTTGCTCCCTCTGTATCAGCAGAGCTGCCTGCTCCCCCTCCCTGCTGCTTCCCACAGAGGCAGCAGCATAAGGTGGGCAGGCGGGAACCAGTGCTCAAGGGGAGTTGGCTTTTAAGCCAGGTAGCTGCATGGGACAGCTCCCATGGAGCTACCTCCTGACCCCACTACCTCCCACAGAGGCAGAAGGGTGGGGCCCAGGCAGGAGCCATGCTTGGTGGGAACTGGCTTAAAAGCCGGCTCCCCATAAGCACCAGCTCCACGGAGCCGCCTCCCTCTCCCCCTCCCTCCCATACTGCTGTTTCTGGGGGGTGGGTGGGCAAGGCAGAAGCCACCTCCCTGTGCATATCAACTCCCACCAGGCCACCTGTCCC